GTTAGCACCTGTCAGCTTTAATTGAGGGGAAAACTGGCTAATTTGGAGTTTTTGTCAGCTAATTTAATCTTCCGGGTTTAAAATGATTTTTGGGGCGGATCAAAATCGGCAACATAGCGCAAAACTGCAAGTGCAAAGATGAGGCGTCGAGTTCTCATTAATATTCATAGCGGAGTTTTCTTATCCTATGGGAAGAGCCGGCTTCTTAATTATTCATAACTGCACGTGCTTTCCGAAGGTAAGACCGACCTGCCAGTGCCGAGCTGAGACACGGACCAACAGCACACAGTATTTAGCTGTTCATGAAGGCTTGTATGTGTTTCTTTTCATGATCCACAGGGTTTGTTACATGTTTTTCCCCGCGATGCTGTCAGGGCTGATCATACAGCAAAGCTGTTTGTGTCCATTAAGCATTATTTTCGGGAGAGCAGTACGAGAATTGAAGAATGGCGGACGTTGTCTTTTATCAGGAGTTCGTTCATATTTAGACACATCGCCGTGCAGCTGTGTTCACCTAAATCCTCCAGATTACCAGCAGGGCTAATGATTAAAACAGACAGGGCAAGAGACCTGCTGCACTGAGTCTGCATTCAGACCTATGATTCAGACCCGGGGATTGAGGGAGAAGTCCTCATTTATAGTGTTTATATGAACACGATCAGGGCTTTACATTAACTTTTTTGATCACCAGCCACAGTGGCTAGTAGATTTCCAACATTACTAGCCACTTGCCACTTGTGATTTGGAAAATATATTTTATATAAATAAATGTGACTTCGACATGCTAAAATGACTTGATTTAGATGCTGTGTTGTCCCAGATCAGCAGTTACTACACACAAATGGTTGGTTAATCTCATATTAAAGAAATGTTACTGTAAAGGATGATAATTAAACTATATTAACAAAAATAACTGTGAGCAAAGGAAAGCAGGTAAAATCATACCACGAGCGATAATGAAAGGATGATCACGTGCCTGAGAATAATTAAAAGGAAAGCAGTGACTGCAGCTGTTGCTTACAAATATATATATATATATATATATATATAATTTTTCAATCTTGAGCTCTTAAAAGCAGCAGGACTGTGGGTACACGAGCATCGTTTTTTGTCTAGTCTTTTTCAAAGAGAACCGATCACAAGTGAACGGAAAAAAAGTGCAAGTAAACGGGAGCGCGCACCCTTTAAACAGCGTACAGAGTAATCATCCTCTTATACCAGGGGTCACCAATCTCGGTCCTGGAGGGCCGGTGTCCCTGTAGGGTTTAGCTCCAACTTGCCTCAACACACCTGCCTGGATGTTTCAAGTATACCTAGTAAGACCTTGATTAGCTTGTTCAGGTGTGTTTGATTAGGGTTGGAGCTAAAATCTGCAGGACACCGGCCCTCCAGGAACAAGTTTGGTGACCACTGTCTTATACGATATTCACCTGCTTTGTTTCGCGCAAACACAGTTATTGTTTTCAGTCGTGCTGTTTCTCGATTCTAAGATTACATTTGCACGCATATTGGGCCATCCTTATTGTCGAGTCGAACCCTGCTTTAAGAAAACTACAATGTAAAAATGATTTCCAACCTGCCAAAGTGGCTAGTAGGAGAGGCTGTCTTACCTGCTGAAATCTAAACGCATTTGGTGGGTTGGCGGGTGTTAATGTAAAGCCCTCAACACGATTATCTTTGTAATGATCTAAATTGTGGTTATCTGTATATGAAATTACGAATAACAAATGTAGCAGGGCGTTAAATTACTGTTCATTTCTTTGCATTTGAACTTTGTAAACTATAAACTCATGCGTCTCCTCACGGTTTGTGTCTCGTTTTGTGCGCTAACTGACAACAGCTGTTCTCTCCCCTCCTTCTCCCCTGCTGGCCACGCCCACTCCTGCCCTTTCCTCGTGGAGCTCCACGCCAACTATGATGCATCTTTTGACAAAATTCTGAGGTGGACCTGAACCGAAAGCGGGGGGTGTCATGACCCTGTAAAACTATTATGTGTAGAAATGTGTTGAAAAAAAAAATCTGCTCTCTGTATAATATTGTGTTGTTAAAGTAACTTGATAAGAGCGTGCAGTTAATGTTGTAGAACAAACCCTGTGTTTCCCACGGGGCTTAATTTACTCATTAATTGATATTATAAAACTGATCAAACCCCACAGGAGAATCTCAAGAGAGTCAGCAGTAAGATCTTCTCTCTTTAATGTTTTCAAGTCTTTTCTGCAGCACTCTATTGAACAAACATTTGGACGTTTCACATTTAAGTCCAAATCTGTCTGTGTTGAAAACAGGTCTAGTGGTGGAGAATTGTTTGATCTGCTTTGGTGTTGATGGAGAGCGGTGATGATAAATGAGTCTTGGGAATTGCTGTCGTTATATAAACCATGGTGGCGGTGATGCTGTAAGAGCGGGACTAAAATAACAAATGACACTTCAGCGAACAATAAAGACTAGCGTACCATCACTCATCCACACGGATAAAGCTGGACTTCATAACTTTTTTTTTTTTCAAAGATAACTTTCTCCTTACCCTAAAATAATACAAGCGTACTGTGAATCAATGTGTTATTTATTTATGAAATTTTTCAGTTGGAAAGTAGATGCGAAAAAGTAAAACAGGTTGCTCCGGTTACGTTTCATTGCACGTTTCTGATAACAAATCCACTAGAGGGCGCTGTTTACATTTTTTTTTGCGAATCTGAAATACGTTCAACCAAATAATCAACCTATATTTTTTGGGAAACCACAAAAAGTTGCTTAAACAACCATTTGACTGCAATGTCTAGGTAAAAGGAACCCTAGGGGGCAGTATTATGGCAACGGTTTTTGTTTTTTTACTAACAGTTTAAAATAATGGTACATTAGTTAATGTATTTACTAACATGAACAAACTATTAGTAATACATTATATTTGGTATTTATTAATGTTCGTTGACGTTAGTTAATTTTATTTAATTTAAGTTAAATACGGTTAATTCATGAATATCTTTGTCCCAATAAAACACGTTTTTCTTGTTGTAAACTTATTGGAAATACATTATTTAGCCCACATTTTTGTGAAACTGCTAAAAAACATACTGTAGCACATGTTTGACTGCAGTTTGTAGGTGAAATGAACACTAGGGGGCAGTATGATGATATAATTTTTTTTTCTTTTTCACACTAATGAAATTTATGGGACATATTACAAATGAATAAAGAATTATTTTGGTGCAATTCTTTGACATCTTAACACTGTCTATGATTTGTTATAAACACATCTGTGTCATCTATCTGTCTCCATATGGACACTTTTCTGGTGTTTGGTCATTTTATATGGTGTTTGTGCTGCAGAGCGCTCGGGTTCGAGTCTGATGAAGCACGCGTACACAAAAGAAATAAAAGCAATGTAAAATCAAGGTAAACTATATTCTGGCAATGCACTTTTCTCTTTTGTCTGCTTCTGAAAACACTATTGGTTGGGTTTAGCGAAGGGTTTAGCTCAGTGTTTTGCTAGCTGATCCATACCACAAGCTAAGCCTTCTTCTGAACATCTACAAGAAGGACGTGCATCTAAAATGTACAACTAAACACACCCTAAGTAACGTATTTCAGATTTGCAAAGATGTAAACACCGCCCTCTAGTGGATTAGTCAGCCGAAATGTGCAACGAAACGTAGCTGGAGCAACTTATTTTTGTGAAATTGCTTAAAAACATACTTAAACACATGTTTGACTGCAGTTTGTAGGTGAAATGAACACTAGGGGGCAGTATGATGATATCAACGTTCGTTCCTGTTCACACTAATGATATTTACTGGGACATATTACTGATGAATAAAGAACTATTTTAGTGCAATTCTTTGACATTTTAACACTGTATATGATTTGTAATAAACACATCTGTGTCACCTATCTGTCTCCATATGGACACTTTTCTGGTGTTAGGCTGCTCGGGTTTGAGTCTGATGAAGCTCGCGTACACAAAAGAAATAGAAGCAATGTCAAATCAAGGTAAACTATATTCTGGCAATGCACTTTTCTCTTTCGTCTGCTTCTGAAAACACTATTGGTTGGGTTTAGCGAAGGGTTTAGCTCAGCGTTTTGCTAGCTGATCCATACCACAAGCTCCGCCTTCTTCTGAACATCTACAAGAAGGACGTGCATCTAAAACGTACAACTAAACATAACCTAAGTAACGTATTTCAGATTCGCAAAGATGTAAACAGCGCCCTCTAGTGGATTAGTCAGCCGAAATGTGCAACGAAACGTAGCTGGAGCAATGTATTTTTGTGAAATTGCTAAAAAAACATATTTAATCACATGTTTGACTGCAGTTCGTAAGTGAAATGGACACTAGGGGGCAGTATGATAATATCAACGTTCGTTCCTGTTCACACTAATGATATTGTTTCACCTATCTGTCTCAATATGAACACTTTTCTGGTGTTTGGCTGTAGCTCATTTCATATGGTGTTTGTGCTGCAGAGCGCTCGGGTTCGAGTCTGATGAAGCACGCGTACACAAAAGAAATAAAAGCAATGCAAAATCAAGGTAAACTATGTGTTCACAATGCACTTTTCTCTTTTGTCTGCTTCTAAAAACACTATTGGTTGGCTTTAGCGAAGGGTTTAGCTCAGTGTTTTGCTAGCCGATCTGTACCACAAGCTCCGCCTTCTCTTGAACATCTACAAGAAGGACGTGCATCTGAAACTTACAACTAAACACACCCAAGTAACGTATTTCAGATTCGCAAACATGTAAACAGCGCCCTCTAGTGGATTTGTAATCAGAAACGTGCAAAGAAACAGCAACATATTTTACCCTGAGGCATGTACTTCCAATCAACCAGGACTAAAGAATAGAATTGCGCAGAGATGTACAAACAAACAGATGTGCAATTTTAGAGCAGGAATGATCCAGGCATTATATTTATCATGCAACTGAAGAGACCGTCAGACCAGAACTGTTAGCGTTTTCCTCAACTCAGTCTTTAAACATGTGAGAACTGTGGAGATTGTGTGTACCTTGTTGAAGCTGCGTCCAGGCGAGTCCTTCTGGTCCGGTTTGAGCTCCTGCAGTTGAGCGTCCAGAATGTCCACCAGCTGCTCCATCAGACGCACAGAGGAGCTGACGTCTCCAGCAAACACTGAGCCCTGAGTGTGGTGAGCCAGTTCATTGGCCAGACTCGCTGCGTTCTCACCACTGCGGATCTGAGAAATCAACACAAAAACACTTTGAAGTCCCTATGAAATCAAAAATAACCATAGTGATTTCATCAGCCCACATTGCTGGTTTTAGGGTGAACGATTCATCTGTGCATTAGGAAATAAACAATAGTTTGCTCTTGTAATTAAAATCTGAAAATGCACTTCCTGAGATTCTGAGATCACACCAGTCTGAGGTATTGGGAGGGGCTAACATACTTAACCACGCCCCTTTAGTGGTCAGTTTAGCCATCAAACAGAAATAATGAGAAGGAGGAGTCTGTTAGGTTGTAATAACCCTTTCACCATCTTTCTGAATAAAACCAACCCGGGCTCATTGTGGAAACGTAGCCCCACGGACGTTTCTGCGGACCGCGATTTACGTCCCGGGAGGTACGTATTCGAGCGTTTTTTGATTTCGCGGATTCGCGAGAGGCCGCTGTGTGCGCTTTTTTGCGTCTCGGGCGCCTCTAGGGAGCGTGCGCCGTTCGCACCCGCGCCGTTCTCGCGCGAAAAGCCGCCGGATCGGCCGACTCGGCCGCCCTCCTCTTCCTCCTCCTCCTTCTCCTTCCCTAAACCCGAGCGACGGTTCGCAAAAGCCATCCAGAAAAAAAAAAGAAAAAAAAAAAAGCAAAAGCCCTCGTCTTCGATTTCGACCGCGTTTTCGGATCCCGCCGCGTTCTCGCCCTTATTTTTCGGATTCCGTTTTTCGTCTTACCTGATTTCCGGAACCGCTGTTCCCCGGACTCGATCCCGGTCATCGTCCACCGCGGCCGGCTCCTCCTCCTCCGGGGCCTCCGCTCTGCCGACGCAACGCTGTGAGCTAAGCGGACAAACTGATTGCATCGGGAAAGCCCTCCACTCGGAGGCGAGCCGTCGGCCGGCGAGCGCGAAGAGGAGGGGCGGAGCGGCGCCACACCGCCCCGCAGCGTTCGCTCGAAAAAAACTAAATGCGGCCTTTACGTACCTCCGGCCATGTAAATCGCGGTCTCCAGAAACGTCTGCGGGGCTACGTTTTCAGAATGAGCTTGGGTTGAATAAAACACCTACTTTACTACATCCAATCAGCTCACAGCAGAAAAAAACAAGCCACACCCTCTGTTTCTACATTAATATTACTCTAGGAACTACGACTTTAAATCATTCACTACACTCATCAGAGTTCTCACCACTGCAGATCTGAGAATTCATCAGAAAATACACATTATACACACAAAATATGTTAAATGTTTCTTAAAAATTAAATATCTTATGTTCAATGGGGGAAAAAGTCCCCCCCCCCCATACATTTTAAAAGTACATATTTTAGAGCAGTAATCACACAAGGTTATCCAAGGTTATCACACCGTCAGAATCTTCTAGCGGTCCATGCTCTGTGTATTGTGAAATAACTCAAGTGTATTGTGCAAAGTGGATCTGAAATGACATCGAGCATCATCTGACCTTCTGCGCCACCTGAGCCACCCAGTGTGACGTACAGTTGCTGAGATCGGGACCTTTCGGGTTCCAGACGCCACCGGTCAAGCAGAGGAACAGAGCGATTCCTGGAGGAGCAGACACAACAAACACTCAGTTCAAGATTACAGCAAAATGCAGCTGAAGTCAAAGTTATTAGACTTGCTGTGATTTTTAAAAATATTTCCCAAATGATGTTTAACAGAGCAAGGAGTTGTTCCCCTTCGGGGGGAACTTCAGCACTATAAGTGGATTTGATTTGTAAAATCCACGCATTGGGAGGTTCGGTTCAGAAGCTACTCGTCTGAAAGAGTATTGAACGGGCCAATTAAGAATGAATTGGCAGCGCAAGCCTGCGCAGGTGAGCGGCATAAGCAATCAACTGAGTATATAAGCTCACCTGGCGCCAGCAGACGCTATCCTTTTCGCTTCAGAGACTTTCTGATCGAGTTGATGAGGGTTCCTCCTGCTGTGACCAGCGATTCTGAGCGAACGAGAGCATTCTCCCGGTCCAGAGTGTGTACACGCAGTGGCAGACGGTCGAGCTGGGTTTCTCCCTTGCCTGGCGTTCTTTGGGTCCGGTCCTCCAGAGCGGTGCGTATAAAGTTGCAAACTTCACAGAAAGAGCAACACAGTCGTGCAGCACGTCCTTTTCAGGACGGCGCTCCGACTGTGCGTTTCTGGATGCGGTGGTTTCCTGTCCTCGGATGATGGGCACGGGCATTGCGTTACATGTCTGGGGGTCCAGCATGTTAATGCGCTGCTCGCGGGCAGTTCATGTCGTCATTGCGATGCCATGACTGTTGCGCAAGATCGCGGTTAGCCTTTGCAAAAGGGTGAACCACCCCAGTTGTCCCCTGCTCTGCAGCGGGCACTCGGGCAGATCTGAGGGTTTCAGCGAGAGATAATCCGTCGCCCACGGGCCCGCGGACCTCCCGCTCCTCTAAGCGCTCCATCCAAGCTTCGGGCGGGGGAAGCGATCCGTCTAACAGATGGTAGCCCTTACGCCCGATGACACCGGAGACCAGATGTCCACCGCGGCATCGGAGGGTGGGCTTTCATTGTCCGATGATGATCCAGACCCGCTCGCCCCCTTCGGGCTGGTGAGCGCTGTCACTACGGATCCTGAAACGGACATGTTAGCCGTGCTTTCCCGGGCTGCTTCGGCCGTGGGTTGGAGATGGTTATCCTCCAGCTCCGCGGCCGGACCGACTAGAGGGGCGTTCCCTTCTTCCCGGAGGTGCACAGTAGGCTCACGCGGTCTTGTAAAGCACTTTTTTCTGCTCGTGCTGCGTGTTCCTCCACCCTAACCACTCTTGACGGTGAAACAGCCAGGGGGTATGTGGCGATTCCTCAGGTTGAGTGCGCGATGGCGGTAAATCCGCGCGGCGCCTCTTCTTGGCGGGGTCCGCCTCGTCTCCCATCCAAAGCCTGTAAGTTATCTACCTCCCTCGGAGCTAGAGCTTACATAGCTGCGGGCCAGGCTGCTTCCGCCTTGCATGCGATAGCCACCTACCAGCGCTACCAAGCGCAGGCGCTGGCCGAGCTGCACGAGGGTGGGTCCAACCCAGGCTTACGAGCTTCGCACCGCCGCCGACTTAGCTCTTCGGACTACTGAGTCCGCTGCGTGTGCGTTGGGGAGGACGATGTCCACATTAGTGGTCCAGGAGCGCCACCCCTGGCTGATATGCGCAAAGTCGACAAAGTCCGCTTTCTTGACTTCCCCATATCCCCAGCCAGGTTCGGCGACACTGTCTGTGAATTCACCCAGGAATTCAAGGCGGTGAGAGAGCAGTTGGTGGGTGATGTCTTATCGGCGGTCCGTAGCCCGCTCCGCCCGCCGTGCCATTCATACCTGCTCCTCGCCGAAGGCGCCCGCCTACGAGAGCTGCTCCGCCCCCGCACACGCCTCAGGCGAAGCGAGCGCGTCGGGCACCTCGGAAGCAGGCAGCCCCCCTGCCCAGAACGCCGCTAAGTCCGGCAACGGACCGCGAAGCGCCCCTGGGACAGGCCATCTGGAGAAGAGGGAACTTGCTCTTTCCCCGCTGGAGGGCGGGGCCCCATTTCCAACGGCACTTTTTACTGCCATGAAAACATTATGAAAGGGCACTTTTCACTTCCCCAGATGTGACAGCCCGAAATCTGCCAGTCTGGGACGCTATGCTTTCTAGCTTGCAGATTCGGTGCGTTTCGCCAGTGGCTCACGAGCGCTGGGAGGACGGTCTCCTTTCTCCCACCCCTCGAGCCTCCCCTCCGGAGCTCGGGTTTGGAGTGAGAGCAAATATCTCACCTCCAGCTTTTCCGTGGGACCCGCGAGCTTCCCGGATCAGCACACCCACTCCGCGCTGCCCCACTGCTGGTACGTCAGCGATTGTAGCGATGAGTCCATTAGCGAGAGCTCTGCCTGCCTGGTTAGCGCGGGCCAGCTCTTCGCGGTGGCTCATACGCACAATCAGACTCGGCTATGCGATTCAGTTCGCGAAACGGCCCCCCAATCAGGGGTGGGTTTCACAGGGTTCAGCCCCTGTTCCGCCCTGTCTTGCGAGAGGAGATTGCTGTCCTCCTGGCGAAGGATGCAATCGAGCCGCTCCCTCCAGCCGAGATGGAGGGTGGGTTTTACAGCCCACGCTTCATCGTGCCAAAAAGAGCGGTGGGTCACGGCCAATCCTAGATCTGCGCGTTTTGAACCGCTGCCTGCACAAGCTGCCGTTCAGAATGCTTACGCAGAAGCGCATCCTCCGGTGCGTTCGTCCTCTGGGTTGGTCTGCAGCATTAGACCTGATGGACGCGTATTTCCATGTCTCCACTCTTCCTCGCCACCGACAGTTTCTGCGGTTTGCGTTTGAAGGTCGAGCTTGGCAATACAAAGCCCTCCCCTTCGGGCTCTCTCTGTCTCCGCGGGTCCTCACCAAGCCCGCGGAGGGTGCCTCAGCGCCCCTTCGGCTCGCGGGCATCTGCATACTCAATTTCTTTACGACTGGCTGATTTTTGCCCTCTCTCGGAGCAGTTGATTATGCACAGAGACAAAGTGCTCTGGCACTTCCACCTGTGGGGGTTTCAGGTCAACCGAGAAAAGAGCAAACTCGCCCCCGTGCAGAGGATCTCTTCTCTCGGGCTGGAGCTGGACTCGGTCACCATGGCAGCGCGCCTCTCCGGAGAGCGCGCTCAGCTGATGCTGTACTGTCTGAGAGAGCTCGACAGTAAAATAGTGGTCCCACTGAAACTATTTCAGAGGCTCCTGGGGCATATGGCATCCGCAGCCGCTTCATGCCGCTCGGATTATTCTATATGAGACCACTTCAGCACTGGCTTCACGATCGAGTCCCCAGACGCGCACGGCACGCGCGCGCACACCGAGTCTCTGTTACTGCGCTGTGTCGCCGCGCCCTCAGCCCTTGGAGCGACCCCTCGTTCCTACAGGCCTGGGTGTCTCTAGAACAGGCGTCCAGTCTTGTTGTCGTTTCAGCAGACGCTTCCAACACGGGCTGGGGGGCTGTGCGTTGCGGGCATGCGGCTGCGGACCTGTGGAAAGGTACCCAGTTGCATTGGCATATCAATCGCCTGGAGCTGTTGGCAGTGTTCCTCGCTCTCCACCGTTTTTTTCCGGTGCTGGAGCGGCAACACGTGCTGGTCAGGACGGACAGTACGGCGGCGGTGGCGTATATCAGCCGTATAGGGGGTATGCGCTCTCGCCGCATGTCTCAGCTCGCCCGCCGTCTGCTCCTCTGGAGTCATCCGCGGCTGAAATCGCTGCACACCATTCATATTAAGGCAAGCTCAACCGTGCAGCCGATGCGCTCTCACGGCAGCCTTGCGTCCTGGAGAATGGAGACTCCACCCCGAGTCTGTTCAGCTGATATGGGCGCGATTCGGGGAAGCCCAGATCGATCTGTTGCTTCCCCCGAGATCGCTCATTGCTAGTTGTTCTTTCCCTGACCGAGTGCTCTCGGCACGGATGCACTGGCTTACAGCTGGCCTCGGGGCACGCGCAAATACGCGTTTCCCCCAGTGAGCCTGCTCGCGCAGTTACTGTGCAAGGTCAGGAAGAGGACGAGGAACAGGTTGCTGGTTGCGCCCCTCTGGCTCAACCGGACCTGGATGTCAGAGCTCTCCCTCGCGATAGCCCTCCCCTGGCAGTCCCTTCGAGAGAGCACCTACTCTCTCAGGGACAGGGCACCACCTGGCACCCTCGCCGATCTTTGAAGAGATTTTAGACGCGGGGAAGACTTAGGTAACCTCCGATTGCGGTGGCTAATACCGTCACTCGGGCTAGAGCCCCCTCCCCGAGCGCGCCTATGCCCTGACGTGGAGTCTATTCACTGAATGGTGTGTCTCTCGCTGAGAAGACCCCCGTAATTTGCCAGATCAGCGTTGTGCTTTCTTTACGCCGAGAGAAGCTGGAGAGCAGGCTGTCGCCCTCCACACTCAAGGTTACGTGGCTGCCATCTCCGCTCTCATAACGCGGTGGCTGGCAGCACCGTGGGAACGCATAACCTCATCATCCGGTTCCTCAGGGGCGTTAAGCGAATTAATCCATCCCGCCCCCTCTCATGCCCTCTTAGGATCTCGCCCTCGCTACACAAGCCGCGTCAGATCCCTTCGATCCTCGACTCAGTATCTTTCTGTCCCTGAAGACAGCTCTGCTGGTCGCGTTGATATCGATTAGAGGGTCGGGGACCCGGAGGCATTTTTCGGTCAGTGACTCGTGCCTGTAATTGGGCTGGCTTCTCTCACGTCCTGAGACCCCGCCCGCGATATGTGCCCAAGGTTCCTACCACTCCGTTTTAATACGAGGTAGTGAGCCTGCAAGCGCTGCCCTCGGAGGAGGCAGACCCAGCCCTTCTTTATTGTCCAGTTCGCGTTTTGCGTATTATCCGGACCGCACTCAGAGTTAGATCATCTGAGCAGCTCTTCGTCTGTTATAACGGTCGGCAGCAGGGAAGTGCCGTACCGAAATAAGTTCCCACTAGATTGTGGATGCCTTCTTTCACTATCAGAGCCGAGATGAGCCGCGTCCCCCGAGAGCGCGTGCGCACTCCACTCGGAGCTTCGCATCCTCTCGAGCGCGCGCACGCGGCGCCCCTCTAACAGACATCTGTAGAGCTGCGGGCTGGGTGACACCCAACACATTTGCAAGGTTTTACAATCTGCGAGTGGAGCTGGTTTCCTCAAGGGTATTAGGTAACCCTTGGTGATTGAGGAAACAATTCGGTAGGGTGTTGAAACACGCTTGCTGCGCCATTTTCCCTAACACGGAGATACGTGCGCCTTTTTATCTGTCAGTAAAGTTCCCCATCAGGTGAGCCCTGCAGATTCCTCCGTGGCCCCCAGCACTGACTCAGCGGAGGAGTCACTTGCTGGCCCACTACGTTGTAGGTCTGCCCGCTGGTCAGCCCGCGTTTTGGGTAAAGGTGCCTGCTATGCGTGGTCCCCACTAGGCGATCCCATATGCTTATTCAGCCACGGTTAAGTCCCCCCCCTGGGCGGACCCGTGTCTTCCCTCCCCGCTAACCACTCTTTTGCTATGCGTACTCCCCCTTTTAGGGCTAGTCCATATGTAAATTCTGCCATCTATCCCCCCTTGGGTAACGGATGGCCTCCGCAGCGTCCTCCCTATCGGGATTGCACGCTTCCCAACGTACTGTCGTATTTTCCTAGAATTATCTAGATGCTCACGACTTCCCAAAAAAAAAAAATATATATATATAAATCCGTAAAACTTCTGTTGAAGTAGGATAAATTAGGGCCAGGGACACGTTGGAGGACCGCGCCCCCCATGATGTGGGTGCGTCACGCTTGCTTGACTATCTCCTCATCGGGGGTGTTGGTAAGGTGCAGTCATTATGGCGCTTTCAATGGGCTCCCAANGCGTGGATTTTACAATCAAATCCACTTATAGTGCTGAAGTTCCCCCCGAAGGGGAACGTTCGAGGTTACTAAAGTAACCCTTCGTTCCCCGAGGAGGGGAACGGAAGCACTATACTCCGTCGCCATAATGACTGTCCCTTAGCTGTTGAAAGTCTCTTCAGCTTAAAAAGGATAGCGTCTGCTGGCGCCAGGTGAGCTTATATACTCAGTTGATTGCTTATGCCGCTCACCTGCGCAGGCTTGCGCTGCCAATTCATTCTTAATTGGCCCGTTCAATACTCTTTCAGACGAGTAGCTTCTGAACCGAACCTCCCAATGCGTGGATTTTACAAATCAAATCCACTTATAGTGCTTCCGTTCCCCTCCTCGGGGAACGAAGGGTTACTTTAGTAACCTCGAACGTTCACAGTATTTCCTATAACAGGTTTTCTTCTGGTGTTCTCAGTATTATGTATTTTCGTTTTTTAGTCATGACTAAAACATTTACAGCACTTTGGAAAACCTTTGATGTTTTAATGTGCTTTAAAAATAAAGAATGAATGAATGAATGAATGAAACAAATGAATGAATGAATGAATGAAACAAATGAATGAATGAATGAATGAATGAATGAATGAATGAATGAAAGACAAAAGAATGTATGAATGAAATAATAAATAAATGAAGGAACAAATGAATGAACAAAAGAAACGATTTAATGAATGAATGAAAAAATTACTTATTAATTAATTAACAAATTTATAAATGAATGAAACAATGAATGACTGAAATGAAGAAAATGAATAAACGAAAGAATGAATGACAGATGAATGAATGAACGAATAAATGAATGAATGAACAGATGAATGAATTAATGAACAAATGAATGAAAGAATAAATAAATGAAGGAATGAACAAATGAATGAACAAACTAATTAATGAATGAATGAATAAAAGATTGAATAAATAAATGACAAATTAACGAACAAGCAAATGAATGAATGAATCAAAGAATGAATAAATTAACGAATTAATGAATGAACGAATGAACGACTGACCAAACAAACGAATGAATAAATGACTGAACAAATGAATGAATGAAGGAATGATAGAAAGAATGAATGAACGAATTACTGATCAAACAAGCAATTAATCGAATAGATGAATGAATGAATAAATGAACAAATAAACCAACGACTGAATGAACCAATGAATGAACCAATGAATAAATTAAAAGATGAATGAATGAATGAACTAACGAATAAATAAATGAACAAATGAATGAACGAACAAACATTTATAATAATGGAATGACCCGAAGACACACCTCGTGTTCCTCTGGGACAGGGCCGCTCCACTGTCAGCCCGCGGTGTGTTTTTGGCCAGGAGATTCCTCTTTTTTCGGTTGGTTCACAGAAGCGTCTGCTGGCGGGCGGTACACTGGCGGCGGCGGTGGGGTCGGCTGGAGGCTCCGGATGCTCCTCTGTCAGAGGGTCTGTGGAGATGCTGGAGTTCAGAGACGGTCTCTGGGTGAAGCTGAGGCTGAGGGTGGTCTTCAAGACTGCTGGAGTGGATCTTCTGGGAGGAAGAGTAGAGGTGGCGTCATCAGACACCGTCGGTTCTGGAGGAACAAAAGATTGAGATTATCACATTGAAATATCAGAGCTTATATCACTGTAAAAAAAATAAAATAATAATAATAATAATTATGTAATAATAATAACAACAATATAATAATAATAATAATAATAATAATAACAATAATAATAATAATAATAATATAATATAATAATGTAATATTAACAACAATATTAATATTAATAATAATAATAATTATTATTATATAACAACAACAACAACAACAACAACAATAATAATAATAATAATAATAACAACAATAAAATAGTAATAATTATATAATAATAATAATAACAATATGATAATAATAATAATAAATAATAAAATATTAATAATATTATAATAATATAATAATAACAACAAAAAATTTAAATCACATTTAAATATAGGAGTTTATATCACTGTAATTAAAATTATTATTATTTTTATTATTATTATTTTTATTATATTATTATTAATATAATAATTATTACAATCTAATAATAATAATACTACAAATAATCTTAATATTACTATTATTATTAATAATAATAATAAGAATTATAACAACAACAACAACAACAACAACAATAATAATATTAACATAATATTAATATTAATATTAATCATATAATAAATCTTCACCTTAATTTTGCATAGGAAATAATATAATATTTTAATAATAATATTGCAGTGCATTTAAAAACCATACACAAGTGTACACAGGCTGTGTTTTGTCTATGACTGATATCAAACCAAGGATTTTTGAGTAAAAACTTTCAAGTTTTCAAGTTAGCTTGTCCGAGTGTTTTTCAGTTCTCCACCGTGTTTGTTTGTGCGCTCCTGTTTTAGACACAAGCGTGACTGCATGGAAATCATCCGTAATAATGAACATCACAAGATGTGAATGTGCTCAGAATAACAGATTTCTGCTCCCTTTCATCTCAGCCAATCAGAACAGACGCCTGATGGAGCCCAAAGAAAACCACACAATTCTATTGGCTGATAGAGCTAAAGCACCGCCCCTCATGTGTGGTCATGCATATAATAGCTCAGCACCATCTTGTTGAGTGTTTGATACAAGGATAAAGATTTTTTGGGTTTTTCATTCTTGGGGGTGGTGGGAGAAAGCTTTTCAGTGAAGCAGTGACTGTTGATCAGCCACACTGAGAACATTAGGACTTAAACTAAAATAAATACATACATTTAAAATGAATTAATACATAAATTAATAAAAAACATTAAAAATAAATACAAGTAAAAAACTGCCAATTTAAAATAAAAATAAAAATATTTAAAATAAATAAATAAATGTAAAACAAAAATGAATAAATACATTTAAATAAATAAATAATTTTAAAATAAATGAATAATAAATAATAAAGAAAAGTAAAATAAATAATTGTAAAACAAATAAATACATTTAAAATAAATAAATTAAAAATTAATAAAGTTATAATAAATAAATATTTTTAAATTAAACAAATAAAAGTTAAAAATTTTCAAATAAATGAATTTAAAATAAATACATAAAT